GCAGCGTGCAAACCCCATGCTTTCTTATTTCTTGGCTAAGCTTTGCAACAGCAACGTTTGTAGAAAAGAATTTTTTGCAACATCCGTTGACTTCAGAATATTCCGATACTTTTTGATCTGACTTGTTCACTGCGGTGTGACTGAAGTTTGTGCGTCGAGGCTAAAATACTATGGATCTTGGCTAAAGCATTGCGGGTTTTGGCTAAAGGATCATGGGTTGAGGCAAAGGATTGCGAATTTTAACTAAAGGTTAATGGGAAAAGATGTAGTAGCCAGGATGAGGGACATATTTTTATGGAGAAATGACTCACAATGAAAATAGCTAACAAGGACAAAGTGTTCAAGGGATCGCGACAATCAAGCTAGCTATTTCATCAAGGACAGCTAGTGGAAAGTTTCGCCATCGACAAATTTCCCACCCATATGAACACAGAGTGAAAAACAGATCTATATCAAACAAGATGGATGGAAGGTACCTTTGCAACAGGTTATTAGACTCGTGTGCTTCTCGGTCAACTTTATTTACGAGATTCAATAGCTGCACTCCTATTTATATTATTCAGTACCTGCTGCTCGATTACGCCTGTGCCCAAGGCAAACCATTGAACGAAACGTTGCAGGTGACAACTTTCTCATAATCACTCCATCATTTGTCATAATTTTTAACACACCGGTATCCTCTGGCAGTTCTTTTTTATTCCAAAGGCATTACACGTGAGATAAACAAGCTCAGTGAGGTGACAGAAAAGAGCATTTGAACCTTCGTTCTTCATCCTTAGGATTAATAATCATGAGATGAAATGACATAACAGTGACCAGCTGGAGAAATAGACCTTTTCAGTAGATAGTATGCATCCTACGCTTCAAGTGATCCAATGATACTCACTTGTAGCTATCTTTTCTGTGTGAACTCCATTGATTCGACGTGTGAGTTTTGATGAGTTCATGCTCTCGCGAATCACAAGATGAAAAGTTCAAAGACAGTGGAACGAAGGCTATGTCTACAGTCATCACATGCAACAGTGAGTCATTCACTGTTGCAGATCATGAATCAGTTCGAGCCAAAAATCGCACTTCCACTGCGATCATTCGGTCTTTGAAAATTCTGACCCAACAAAACCTGCCTTACTTAAGAGAGAGATAGAGCAGTTTACTTAATCTTTTACGAACTGCATAAATGGCGGAGCTTTTGGATGGCAACAATCAAAGAAGCTCATGTTGTGGATACGTGTAGGAGAACCATTGTGCACAGTGCATCATTACTTAACGCGGTAGGCTAGTTTGTACCGGTGAGCCATCAGGTCTCAGTCCCAAAGTGTGAATTCCGAGCGAGGGCTCATCTTATTTTACACAGTATTGATTAGGAGTGAAGGCACCCGCATCCATTTTCATTACTAGACCATCAAAACTGCAAGTTGCAGAAACCAAGCCCTAATAAGGCGGCGTTAAGACGAGCGTAACAACTACTGTGTTCTTTACGGTTCTTAAGTGGGAAACCTGAAAGTGCTTTTTCGTAAGATTCAATCCCCTAAGTGTCATTCGGTAGGAGCATTTCGTTGTTAAGGGACGAGGGATTCCTGTGTGTATAAAATTACTCACCTCACCAGCTCCCACAAACAGATAAACATTATCCATAAGTTTGCGCTGAGTCATACGACCGGCAGCAAGCAGCCCTGCCACAGCCACAGCGGCCGTACCTGAAAATAGATGAGCGCAAAAAGAGAGCTTTAGAAAGTAAAAAAGTGATAGATTAAGTTACGTTCAACCTGAAGAACTCTGGGATGTACGAAAAATGTATTTCAGAGTTAACCGGCTTGATGTGGTCGACCAGGTCTGAAACCAGCCGGGTTCTCACGCGTGCACTCTTCATGTGTGCCGCAGGTGAGGATAACACAGGTGAAAACCAGGCTGGTTTCACACCTGGTCGAGGTTGCATCAACCACATCTTCACTCTTCATCAAATCCTAGAACACAGATACTCTTCTCG